CAAAGTATAGATAAACAATGAAACTCCTTATCGTGTTTATGATTATATCATACAACACTTAATCATCATTGTTACAACACTATATTAAAAAGAATACAATAAGGTAATAAACATAAAATACTTAAAAGTGACTACCAAATACACAAAATACTACAAAAATATTAAGTATTTAACTCTCAGCAATAAATTAGATATAAATAAAAATTTTCTTTATACATATAGGAACCATTATATATTGTATTATGAAGTATATTTATTCTCTATTTAAATGTCTATTAGAATTTCTGTATATAAATAAATAGACAAACAGTTCAGTACCTTTAGTGTTACCATAAAAAAATAGAAAACAGATTTTTTATATGCATAGGTAAATTCTATATTAATAGGTAATTTGTAAATGAAATTTTCAATAACGATTATGTTCGAATTTTGACTACTGGGCGTACGACTATATCAATACACTACAAAATAATTCACATTCTAAACTCGGACACCGATTAGAAATCTGATAAGAATATAAATAAATATTATAGAAACGTCAATTTCGCATGCTATAGATATTAACCCCATGGATGACAAATATTTGCCCATTAGATACGTCAATGTAAATACGTAATAGAAGAATGTAATCTGTACTTCAAAATGTTACATGTATAGAAAAAAATATTAGTGTTTTTTTTATTATTTTTGCATTAAATTGCGGGGTTCTATTTTATTTTTTTAAACAAATCAATTAAAAATAGTAAGATGATAATATGATAAGTTACTGTTTTATGCATGTTTTAATCTACTGATTTGATTGCCAGATATATTACCCATGCAGAATTATGAATGGTATTAGAACTGACAGCTCATTGAGCACGTACTGTCTGCATGCCACGGTGTATGACTCTTTTATTTCACTAATAAAGTGATAAAATATATTTCATTGATAATTTTATAACAGCATATTTAGATAAAACTTTACTTTACCATACCATTACAAAGTGTTATTTGAAAATATTTAAAATACTAAATGTGAAGTGAAACGAGGTTTAAAATAATAGTATAGTAACAAATAACAATAATAGGTTTAGGCAATTATATGTATGTATGTGACACCATTTATATTCCCATTATTTATATGCACAGGGGTACTATAGGGGTAATTTTTGGAAGTAAAGAAAAAAAACGACAATTTATTATTATTTATTTAATAAAATAATATCCTTACTGGTAATTAATGTTAAAACTGTATAATACATTGACATTTTTTTATCACAATAATCAATGAGAGTACACATCTACAAGCTCTTTAAAATATTTTTATTTCCAAGCATTAGAAAAAACTATTAATAATTGACATTGCCTTTGATTTTTTCAATTTATTCAAAGTTAATTTTCATTTCAATGTTATCAATATATAAGTGGTTTAATTTTCATTAAAATTGGTACCTCAAACGCTGTGTTTAAAAGTTTTTTTTTTATTGAAGACCATGGGAACCGTGAAACTCAATTGAATGGTCAATCCGCTAAAAAAGTATCTTTCTAGACATTAGATGGTACTACAGACACGTAAATTTTTATAAGTAAAAAATATATAATGTGCACTCTCTTGTAATCACTTGTTTTCGTTTTAATTAATTAGTATCTATATAAATTTCCACTTCAATGTTCATAATACAGTCTTTTGTCTTAACTCAAAGTGGAACGTATCGTACGAACGAACGGACGTCGAAGTGACAAAGTCTCGTTTATTTTAACTTTAAATAAAATTTTAATTCAAAGTGTATCATGCAAAATAATGCATTACATGTTTAGTGTTTAGTCAAGCGTGAATCGCACTTTACTTTACGTTGGCTTTATGATGTGTACCATAAAGCCAACTGCCAAAAAATAAAATCAATTTATTAATTTTAAAACTATCAACCTCTACATAAATAACTAAAACTGACTGACTGATTGATTAAATTCTAACTCTCTGAACATACAGTGACAATTGATGAGTGCACAGACTCGCGATTCTAAAAGCATGGCCCTTAAAATAACGAGTTCTTAATTTATATAATAATATATCCATACCCTACTAATAGGGCATGGGCACGACTTGTTATGTGGGAGTTCATAATGGACATCTTAGACTAAGGAATAATATAGACAGTGTCATAGAACTAAACGAAACTGAAATAATGTTTTAAAACAGTATAGAAATGTGGAATGAATGTGTTAAACAAAAATGACTTGTGTGAAGTGTGAATGAAAGAAAAAATGAGTGAAAGGGACAGTGTGTACAGCCATGTTTGATTTTGAATGCCAGTAAGGAAGCGAATCGTATGTGCATTATAAAAGACGTAACAAAAAATAGCAACGCATTAAGGTGATTAGTTTCATTGCTGGTATCCTCAATCCCACATAAATGATAATTTGTATACTAAGTAAATGTTAATAAATGAAAGAAAAGTTAAATAAACTATCGGTGATAGAACTCTGTCAAACCTGAGGAGTCCGACTGGATGGGTACCACCCCCTTATCTATTTCTTCCGTCAAGCAACAATGATTACATTGTTGTGTTCCGGTTTGAAGGATAAGGTAGCCAGCGCAACTACAGGCAAGAGGCATATCATCTTAGTCCTCACAGTGACAACGCACCTGCGGTTCTGCATTTTTGTAACATAAAACCTAAGTGCATGAACCGTAGGTGTTATACGCGACACGTACTGCTTTCCATCAGGTGGTCTGTCTACTCGTATGTCACAGAACACCATAAAAAATAACGAAAATTATTATCTCTCTCTTTCAATATAATATTATTTTATTACTCATATTTTTTTCTCAAAAGCAGTAAATCATGTAACTATTTTTGACTGTGACTGTTCTTTAGTCTGAGATTTAAACTTCATAATTGCTGATGAGAAACTCAATCGTACTCACTGTATGTAATTGCAAGATATAAATAGACGATCAAACTAAGCTCATACATCAGAATAACACATAGGCTATTTTTTATCCCGGAAAAAGTTATGGATCTCGTGGGATAGATTTATTTTTGTTTTTCTAGAGGCGACTGGACTTTCGCCGCTAGTAAACAATATATGACAATATTTTGCACAATAACTTTAAAGAACATTTAAAAGAATAAGTCAATTTTAAACTTATATATTAATATAAATTATAAACTCATTACATATCGGGCTGTTAGTGCAGAAGTGGTCAAACCCAAACTATTGAATTCAATACAAAAATCATAAAATTCATATTAAAGTATTTTTATTACATTATAAATTCGTCACGATAATATTATATAGTTAAACCTTATAAAGAGTGTAGTTAAAGATGTTTTTCTTATAGTTTCTAGTGAGTCCCACAAGATTGACAACTGAATTTAATTCAGTTAGTAGTAGTTGACATATTTTTTAGGGATCCATTCCATTTGAAATTAATATCAAACACTCAGGTCTGCAACATGCAAACTAGGTTCTAAGTCAACGTATTAAAGGATAATTAAAAATTTTAATTAAAAGAGTAATTAAAGGATAAGGCCGTTTAAGTGCGCATATTTCGAGGCACTCTAAATAACTCGGTATTATTTTTATTATATTTTTCTCAAAATTTGTATGTTAATTTAACGAATACATACATATATTATAAATTTTCCTTTATTCTTTAAAGAAAGTAAACTATCTGTATGTCAAATGAAGACAGTAGCATAAACAGCAAATCACGCTACTATATTTGATTTTGATATTCTACATTTACGTTCTTTTATTCTAGTTTTAAAGTTAATTGAAAAATAATCGAGGTTACAGGACTTAAATATAGTTTAATTAGAGAAATCGTGTTTTGAAAATATTGGGTAATGATGTCAGATAATTGTCATGGCTTACTTTTATAAAACTAGCGACACCCTCGCTTCGCTCATGTTAACCGTCCCTCTAGGTACGTTTTGGCGTATGGGATATTTTTTTCCCCGTGAATTTTTCCGATGTTTTAATAGTTATTCTGCTATTTCGGTTGAAGACAAGCCCAACAAAACAAAGATCATAAAAATTGATCCAGCAGATCTCGAGTTATAAGTCTTATAACAAACCTGATTTTGTTTTATATATATGTATAAGATTTAGAGACCCGCTAGTGGGTTTGCTGTGTTGGCATCTAATAACCAAAGGTAAATTAGTATATTAATGCACTAACGGCCTGATTTTAATTTTTATATTATAATATAAGGTACACGTTTACATTGTATAGTGCTTCGCTTTAACATTAAATGAGCATGAAATGAGATATACTCTAACTTCTATTTAATACTTTTTCAATCATCAGATATAAGTTAGGACGTCAACTAAATTATAACCTGATTAAATATAAAAGTGTAACGATTGGACTGTGTTATTGAAACAATTTTTTATTGTTAATTCATCAATATTGTATGTATCACCTCAAAAAACTTTAATAATAATGATTGAAAAAATAAATAAATATAATATCTCCACAAAATACCCAATTTAGATCAAATTTTGATATGTAATGCATAATTATGAAAAACTTTAAATAGCCTACCAAATTGTCATTTACGCTTATTTGTACAAACGATCAATTCACCGAAAGTGTTTTAATATATTTAGATTTTTTTTTAATGTCAATTATTTTGGTATTAAACACACATTTTATTAACAATGTATTCTATCTATATATGTATATAAAAATATTAAAACTAGACAGACACTAAAAAGTTAAATTTATAACTAAACAGGAGTTTTCATTTAGAGTAGATAGCTAATCAGATAATTTCGAAGTCAGTGTACTTTAATTTGTGTAGGCCGGCATCGACTTCGAAAATATCTAATTAGGTATCTATTCTAAATGAAAACCGCCATTTAGTAATTTTTACTTCTTATTGCCCCGAAGTCGGTTTTTACTGTAAAGTACAACAAGTGTTGGTAGTTTGAACAAATAACCATTAATACGAATATCAGATATCTTTTAAAATGAGAAAAAATGTCATTGCTTAAAACTTATCTTATGCCTCTTCAAGTCTCTCTTCTTCAATGATAACTACGACGGCCTCATCTTCTCGCCTTCGCCAGAATCTTGGCAAAATACCGTTATATTCGCACATACCAAGTATGAGAACGATGAAACCGATCACATGCTGCCAATGGAACTTTTGCCAGAGGACTGCCAACGATACCATCCAGATGACGAAGGTTCTGAAAATGTTGGATATTACACTCATAAATATATCCATACTAATATTATTATAAATGCGAAAGTGACTCTGTCTGTCTGTTACCTCTTTATGCTTAATCCGCTGAACCAATTTAGATTGAAATTTGGTATGAAGAGTTAATATAGAGTTTGAAACCCTGGTAAGTACAAAAGATAATTTTTATCCTGGAAGTCATCCCTTTAGGGGGTGAACGGAGGAGGACGGGGAGGGGGGGGGGCGACTTCTTTGACAAATATCGCAATTACATTAAAACAAATCAATAATTAAATAAGGCATATTGCTCTGTACTGTTAGACAATAACAACGGTCACCATGGCAACAATTAGTAATAATAGCTTTTATTTAATTTATGCACATTCATCTCACAGTAATAGATATTCATTTTTTTTAAAGTAATTAGTTTAGTTTTTTATTGTACCAAGTTTGAAAGTTATTTTACATTTTATTTAACATATGTATATTACATAACATATTATATTTCTATCTCATTCTCTCGCCGGCTATATATTCATGTGTTTGTCTATTTCTCATGTCGCTAGTAAGCAATATCTGTATAGTTATTACAGTTCAATAATACTTTTTATTTAGCTGGTGACGCCATCTAAACAATATTTTCCATAACATTTAGAGATTTAGATATTACCTGACTGAATCCAAAACCATTCTGGTGGTAGCTGACATCTCCTTAGTGACACTTATCCCCGCAAAATTAAAGAACGCGATGGACAAAATCGTCCCCAGAATTGCCAATAACAATAATGAATTGTTGCCTGCGAAAGAAATTTTCAATTATTATTAATTTACTTGTAATAAAACAAGGTTTGTAGAAAGCTACAAGTGATGAAACTTCGCTTCTTTTTGCGAAATTTGTAAATTAAATTATTTGATTACTATTTATTTTCTTACACTTAGATTTTTATAAATTAATTGTAAAAAATCTTTTTATCTACAACTTACTTTAGTACTAAATGACATATTTAAAAACAGCATACAATTAATACAATATTCTTTACTTTGAAAAGTAAATAAATATCAGCAAATAAAAATATCTAAAGGATTTTATTGTAATTAAAATAAGTTTCTTTTAGTATTATTTTTATTCGTATTTTCCTTTCAAAAATTGGAAAATATCCCTTATTATCTGAAAGATATGTCTACGGCAACATTGGAAATAGTAGCATATACAGCAAAGTCATGCTTCTATTCTTGACCTTGACCGTTGTTTTCTCGGACATCTTAATGTATATAATTCTTCTATACCCATTCCTCCTAAAGGACTGGACTGATTTGGGTAAAATTTTGTGTGTATATTTCAATAATTTCCTGGATGGTTTTAAAATACAAATGGGCCCAGTACGTGACGCTGCAGTCGGTGTGCCACTGATCATCTCCTAAACGGTAGGGACGATTTTAATCATATTTTTTGTGCATGTTCGAGTGGGACCCTGCAAGTTTTGGATTCACATTCACATGTAGGTGGTGCTGACAGTCGGTGTGTCACTAAATTTTCATAACGACTCCACAGCTGGAGCGATTTTGATGAAATTTTCAGGTAATCTTCAGATTAGCCCAGCGGGTGATCCTGTGAATTTTGTTAGCGATCGGAAGTTTGGACGCGGACGGATACTGCTAGTTGTCTATATAATTCTTTAGTCTCAAACACTGGATATACTAAGAAATACTCACAAATTTCAAGAAATTCATCGAGAACATCAACAAAACTGTTGAACCGAATTTGATGAAATTCAATACAGAGATCGCTAGTAAGATAAAAAATAAATACTTACCAATTTGAACAAGCCCATCGACTACATCTTCAATGGTTCCTCTCGCGTTATTATCAAAGTGTGGCGGCGCGGGCACCCAATAGAATATAACTAGTAACACCGAGAGCACTGAAAACCCAAACACCCCCTCCCATCCAACTGCCTGTAGTGGGGGGATGTTCAACCCTGAAAGTCATTAAAATATCATTTTTTAACTAATTTCAGGCTTACATTTTGATCTTTCTACTTTACTAGCAGAAGCCGCGGCTTCGCCCGCGTTTAAATCTACAAAAAAATGTCTATTGCTTTATTTTATATAGCGAAACACTCACGCTTCGCTCAGGTTCGTCCCTACGTATTTATGTAATACTAGCGACTCACCCTCGCATCGCTCTGGTTCGACCCTAGACGAAGTTACAACCCTATATAAAATTTCATGGGTCTCAAACTATCATAGATTAAATTATTTGGATATTGACAATACAAAAATTCTAAAATTGCGATTAAAAAATGGGAGATGGGGGTAGGAGGGTGAAAAACACTTTACGACCAATTCTCATGCCTACCAAATACATATACTCAAAGAATAATCAAAATCGGTGAAGCCGTTTAGGATAAGAATTACGAACACATGTACATCTTACATACTTAATACCTTGTTTAAAAATAACTCGGTAACAATTGTTTCTTTAAACTGTAGTCACCACTTTGGTTACGAAAATAGTAGCTATTTTAAACCAATAAACGTCAAGTGCGTATCATATAAATTGAATCGACCTTTCTAATGACACTCAGTGCAACATTGTATGCATTTATGTACTGTGTAGGAGGAGAATGTACTTTGAATTTATCTATATACCTACTATCCATCGGTTATTTTTAGGGTTCCATACACAAAACGCAATAACGGATCCCTTATTATTCTGTGTGTCACAGACATTTTATCGATGGATTATTGGTACTTGGTATTCAAACTCACAGGCAGTGGTAGCCCAATGGTAATACGCTCGCTTGGGAAACGTAGTGAAGCGGGTTCAAATCTCGTGTAGCTTCTCTGATATATGTATGTTCGAGAATCATTTTCAACATGATTACCACTTGCCTTACAGTGAAGGAAAACATCGTGAGGAAACCTGTATGAGGAAGCTTAGTAAGAGAAAAGCATGAGAAGCCCGTCAACCCGCACTTGGCCTTTTTAATTGAATAAAGTTTAATTTAATTTAAGTTAAATTAATTTCATTTCACGATTTTAGAAGTTATAACTCTTCTTTTCCCAGACTAAAAAGTTTTTTTTTAAATGAAAAATACACAGGCTTTAATTGCCAGTGCCCCTTTTTATTAAATTAACAATGTTTTTACTTTTGGCGAATACTTTTTATATTTGCTTAGAGCTAGCGGTACTTAAGACTAAAAGTTTATTGACTTAACATTACATGTATTAAATAATAATCATGCCCATATAATACACTTGTTGCTTATATCTTATGCATTATGAAGACACAATAGTTAAAAAATGTTTTATCTCCTTCTTACAAATACAAAAATCTGTGTCATAGATAAATACAAACTTTGTAAACCAATTTTAACTAAAAAAAGAGATAAAACAGTTACGACTAAAACCTTACTTAATATTCTTCAAAATAATATAAAAAGTTGTGTATGTCACAATTTGAATTATTTTCGTATAAAATAAAACAAAAATGCAAATTCAATACCAGCCCCGATATCCAATATTTCTCTTATTTTTCAACAGACTTCAAAAAGGAGGAGGTTCTCCATTCGACTGTTTTTTTTTTATGTTTGTTACCTCAGAACTCCGTCATTTATTAACCGATTTAGACAATTTTTGTGTTTTTTGAAAGTGTATACTTCCAGATTGGTCCCATTTAAATTTCAAAAAAATACCACCCCTAAGGGTGGAAAAATAGCTAATGATGAATTTAACCTACTTCTAATTGTCATATTGACTTGAAACTTTACAAGTGTTTCTATTTCCGTTGACAGTACAGTGGTTCGGTATTGTTGACCCGATCTGATGGTAGAATGGCCAGAAGGTGGATAGGTGGAACTCTTCAACGGCTAATAGTAGATACTTTGAGTTTGTGCTTATTTTGTTTGATTTGACAAGCCTAACACGTTAGAATTCTTACTTTGCTACTACTGTCTACACTAAAAAGGGAAAAATAAAAACTTTTTAACAAAAAAATAAAAACCGACTTCAAACAAAAGCACGACGGATTGATGTGATTTTTTGTGTGGAGATAGTTGGAGGGCTGAAGAGTGACATAGGTCACTTTTTACGGGTAATTATCTCATTCCCACGAGAAAACACGTTATAATACAATCCAAAAAACATATTCATAATCAGAATTACTTGAAACTTGGTATTAATGTTCTTCAATAAAATTAAATAAATACTTGTTTTAGCATTTTTCGAAATTAATCTCATAAGGGAGTAAAATATCGGATAAAAGTTTGTATGAAACTTCATTTTTAATCTCTAAAAATGTAGTTTTAGCGCAAGCGAAGCCGCGGGTTCTGCTAGTATATATATATATATATATATATATATATATATATATATATATATAAACGAAGTCCTGTTAGTTACACCATTTATAACTCAAGAACGGCTGGACCAATTTTATGATATTTGATTTATTGGATTTCTCTTAGTCCAGAATAGGATAATAAGCATTAAAACATCAGAAAAATTACCGAAAAAAAATATGGCTAACGCTGGCTACAATTAACTATTTATATGTATTCAAAACGTTATTAAATAAACATACCCGATACATATTTCTCTTCGTACACCATTTGGCAAGCAGAGACGACTTGGGCGACGATGATCAATAGGTCTCCAGTGATAACGCTATTTGGTCCTTTTGCAGCCTCCGATTTGTATATGGCGTCTGTTACTCCCACTATTGTGAGACCGAGTAATACGTTCACTGAAAAATAAACAATTTTAGTTTTAAAAATAACTCAGCTATGACAAAGTTTGATGTACAAAGTAACTAACTTAGAATAAGTTTTGTATACTAAATACAAATATAATGAAGATATTCACAATGATCCCATTAATATTATAAATGCGAAAGTTTGAATGGATGGATGTTTGTTACTCAATCGCCACGGCATACGCATACGCACGATCTGGATGAAATTTGAGACAGAGATAGCACATAGGTTACTTATTATCCCGGAAAAATGTACGCTTCCCGTGGGATAGGTTTATTTTTGATTTTGATTTGATGTAATGTTATAAATGTGAAAATAGCTGTCTGTTACCTCTTCACATTAAAACCACTGGACAGATTTCCATAAAATTTGGCGAGAACATAGATTTCATCCTGGGGACTGACATAGGCTACCTTTGATCCTTGCCCCACTTACTACGCGAGCGAAGTCGCGGATAAATATTCTAGGCCAATATTATACTATAAATAATACCAATGGCCAATATTATACTATATATTGGCCTAGAATATTATACACAATATAATAATTACCATAACTTTTGAAGAGTTAAAACATCCATATCTTTGCTTATTCATTAAATGAGCTCGATGGGATCAAATTATAGCATTTTCGATTACAAAAACATTCTAAGATATGACATACATATGTAGTTAATCTATACTAATATTATAAAGAGGAAAGATTTGATTTTTTATTTGTTTGTTTTTTTCTTTGTACTGAATAGGCTCCGAAACTACTGGACCGATTTAGATGAAATTTGATAAGAAGATAGTTTGAGATCCTGGGAATAATATAACATGATGAAATTTGGTATGGTGATAGTTGGTTAACCGGTTCAACATATAGGCTACTTTTTACCACGGAAAAATATCTCATTTCTGGAAAAAAAATACAAAAACTGCATTGTAAGAGTATACTAATTTGTAAAACCTAAGAATTTGGTTTTCGGTCATCTGAACGCGGGCGGAGTCGCGGCCAATGCTAGTAATTTTTAATATTAGTCACAACATGTGTTTGAATATCATAAGCAAATAATAATGTTATTGTAAGAATGACTCACTGGACATCGACATGACACGAAATATTTAATTGTATTGCAATATCGCGAGACATAAAAGCAAAATGACCTAGTGGAATTTTAAAAAATAATTTTACGCTATCTATTGTACTTTATTTTTTTTATTTATGTTTCTTGGCTTCTAAACATTCAGCCACATATCACTTGATAATGAATGTACGGATTTTAATAGAACTTTTTCCTTTACAAGTTGGAATTAAAAATATGCTCAAGTTTTATTAAAATCGACATTGATTTATATAATACAGCTCGATCTACGCCTCATATGAAGGGCCACGGATTACTTTCAAAGCTATTAAATAAATACATAAATATAGGCTTAGCACTGAATCCTTAATGAAAACTTACCAATTCCAACCCACTCCCTTCTTATAATCGTCCTATCTAGGAACGTTGTAGAAAGCACAGCCACGAATACTATGATAGATCCTCGAAACATTTGGAAGCTTGTCACGTATGTAAGTGTCAATCCTATGTACATAATTGAGGTTCCGATCTGAGAAAACATGAGCATTTAGAACTTTTTATCTCCAAAACGTGAATATTATTTTTATATGTATTGAGTTTACGTATATATGAATGTATGTAATAGATATATATGTATGTATTTTAAAGAACATCAAACTAGACATGCGTAGGTCCGGATTGAAATAGTTCCCGGAACTATGTCCTAGGCCGGAACGATATCGTTCCAATCCGCGATGTCAATTGAAACAGGTTCACAGTTCCATATAGTTCCACATGTGCAGGAGTGAGATGGAGCGAGAAACGAATATAATGGACCGATCACCGGAGCGACTGACTGAACTGAACGTAACCGACTCCTGCCGAACCTACCCGAGCTATAGCTATATATTAAATTTTAAGGTGCGTCCTCACAAGCGTTAATTTTTTTTAGTAATCTGTTAAGCCGCGTCCACATGCTGGGCGCTTGCCACAAGCACCGAGAATCATAAACACGTGCCAAACACCGAACACAAACTAAATACATTAAATTAAAATAAAAAAGCCTTTAATTTCTTGCGCTTACTAAAATTGCTATTAAAACAATTTAAGAAAGTAAGTATTTATTAATTATTAATAAAATCCTTTCATATTCAGTTATATTATAATAATAGTATTAGATCTAATTTTGTATTAATTATTATGTACATAAAGAATGTTTATTAATTTAAACTTTTTCCTTAATTTTTACAATACCTAATATGAATTAGAATTTATAATGAATAAAAATAATTACAATAAATAATTAAAAATTAAGATCAATATATATAATAAAATAATTCATAAGTTAAACAATCATTTACAATATTTTTATTTATTTGAAGTAGTTTTTTTAAGTTTTTATATTCCATTTTTAGTGTAGATATACGAGTATTAGGTACCTAGTACCAAAGTAAGAAGAGGTCAAACAATAAAAAAATATATTTATACGTGTCGAATTGAGAACCTTCTCCTTTTTTTCGTGGATTTAAAATGATTTCATGTTAAAAAATGTTAGGTATGTGATGTTATCTGCTGCACTGCTGTGTGGAAGCGCCATTATATCGCGTAGGTACTGTGTGTAAACTTCTGTAGTGACTAGTGCGTGTGCGAGTATTCGCAATAATTATAATGTCATCTCTTACTATGCTATTACAATTAATAATGTGCCAACTTCACTGTGCGTTAAAGTCGATAATTCATTGATTAAATCTGATTTTCGTTTTGAACTTTTAAAACATTAATAATATATTTTTAAATTATAATATTCTTTCACTTTTGACACAATATTTTTGTACTTTGTGGCGTTCGTCTAGAGTCACATTGCGCGCGAAAGCACCGTAGTTTTTTGAAGTTGGTTTAATTTTTTTTTAAACCTTTTTTATTTCGTAATTTTTAGTTTTAAGTAAAAACTGAAAAAGTTTTTGTAAAAAGTAGTAATTACAAAAAATACACTTTTTTATCCATATCTTCAAAACCAATGAACCGATTTTGATGAAATTCTTACTATTCCCTAAGTTAAAATAAATGTAAGCAAATAAAAAGGCATGATCACGTCGGAATAGTAGATTCGGCGAAATGCGTGGACAAACATACATACACACAAACAAACAAACAAACAAACAAACATACATACATACATACATACATACATACATCTATACACCTATAAAATTTTGTATATTTGCTTCGAAGCCCTAATATATCATATTATGTTAATATCTTGCAGTTCTAATAATATTATATACATACGTGTCGAATTGATAACCTCCTTTTTTTTGAAGTCGGTCAATTAAAACAATATCTCCCGCTATGCTGTCCTCGGGAACCGATGACAGTGATAACCTGTTAAAATCGGAACGATCGGATCGGATGAACTATCGGAACTAGATAGTTCCGCGAACATGTTTCGTGAACATAGTTCCTTTATGGAAAAGAACTATTCCATGTTCAATCCACTCCAGGACCTAGTTTGCGCATCTCTGCATCAAACAACAGCATTCCCAAAGAGGGTTGACGTCAGGCAGGCGGTCGGTCGGAATTTTTTCGCTCGACCAATAAGCAGTATGGACGTACTGATCTGACACCAAGTAATTTGGGAAATGGGGAAATTAAAATCGTAATTTTAAACTTTAAACATAGTTTAATGTTACAATCTAAGGAATGTCTATATAAATAAAAATGAAGTGCTGTTTTTAACCGACTTCCAAATAGGAGGAGGTTATCAGTTCGTCGGAATCTTTTTGTTGCTAAGTGCATCACTTGAAAACTAGTGGAGTAGGTAATTTGTTTTTTTTTTGTAATGTTTGTAATATTTTCAATTAGGTTTTTAGGAAAACATATAATAGGAAATTGGGAAAATCTATAGGATATTTATAAGAACTGAAATGATCACTAACAAATTACACACATAGGTGTTTATACAGGGCACTGTCGGCCTGTTAGTCTATATAATATACATAAATAATAAAATTGTGACTAATCGCTGACTGTACCTACATGGAATATATTTGAGAAAAACTATTATTGGGGGTCTTTGTTCTCTATTAACGCAATAGACCTAAAACAATATTTTTTAGCATTTTTGTCTGTCTGTGCGTTTGTGCGCGCTAATCTCAGAAACGGCTTAACCGATTTGAGTGCGGTTTTCACTAATGTATCGTGGTAAGCTTTTCATAATATTTAGTATTTGTTTTATTTTAATCGATTCATAAATAAAAAAGTTACTCCAATTCAAGGAATCACTGGTTACTAAATAAATTATTATTCTGCCCACGAATAATGAGAAGATAATACATTAAACCCGTTTGTTTTTTTTTACATACATAGTGTGATGAGTATAAAACGCTTATAACTAGTTTCACACATTCTCAGAGTCTGTAAAAGCTTTCTTAGACTAACCACATCAGGTGAAAATACAGTTATGTAGTTTTAGAACTCTATTTGAATATGTGTTTGAACACCATGAGGATCAGTAGCAGTATTGAAAGTTGAAAGTTCGATTTCGTTAAGCAAATATTACATTAACTAACAAAAAGAGATGGTAATTTGGATGAATGTTAATTGGTAATAAATGTTACATTGGGTGTACTGTGTAATATGAAACCTTTGTAGATTAACAACTACTTATTTTTTTTAAATTAACCACCCATTATTATAAACTATAAAGAAACAAAGTATATAACATATGTATGTACTATATAAATTGTACATATTTTCATTTAGTTTTAGAATTAAGCAATCAATGTTGTTAATGGTGAACTCGCAATGAAGTCAATAAAAATCAATATTGAACCTAACGATATTGACCAGGTTTTGATAGTTACACAAATATTGTTTCTTTCAATTTATTTTGTTCAGTGTTATAGTTCATCTTATGTTTTTGCCTGTCACCATTATATGTCCAAATAAGGTATTTAAGTACCTGGATGATTAAGTTTGCTCTGTATTTTTTAGAAAAGATAATAAAAAAGGAAAACCTTAGACCTAGAACTAGAACTTAAAAGCAAAACCTTATCTAAATACAAAATTTGATCCAAATTGTTAAAGCCATTTCTGAGATATGTAAACCAAATAAATTTATATGTATAATACAATAACTGCTCACTTAATATCATAAAATTCATTCATTATTATACCATCACTGGTGGATAATATTTAAATTTTAAAACAAAATGTCACCCTAAACTAAACTCATTATTAATTACATTTTCCCAGTCCACAATTTTAAATGCCTATATGTCATATAAATATTACATACAAACATTTTAACCACCTTTTACCATTACCTAAAAAATTAGGTAATTTTTATCTTGTTTGTTGTTTGTTGCATAGTAGAAAGATTAAATAACTATTAAATTACATATAATTAATGGATAGCAATAGTAATACATTACAGTTCAAGGACTATTGATACACTACATACTGATAAAAACAATTTTCTTTATACTCACATAACAAATATGCATTGATAAACAGAAAGTTAATAAATACATACCAAATCAAACATGGCAGCTGGCATCAGTATAAAGGGGTTGAAATCTTGACTACCCTGTATGAGGGCATTATCCCCATTTCTATTCCACCAATAGATCAGTTTAAATGTTAATAGGCATAACATTTCCCCAATGAACATTGCCGCTGCCTAAAACAATTAACAATATGTTGGTGTATCATGAGTGTTCTGCTGGAATATGATAATAGTATATAAATAGTTCAAAACAAGCTTTTTTCCAGTCTTGAAAATACAAAACTCGGCATCTATTCATGTCTAACATTTATTTTATCAAACAAATAAATATGAACCTAAGCAATGGTGATAGCAAAGGATATATGGAAAGATACATGTAGAAGGGGAAATCCAGAAGCATTCATTTACTGCCTATTTTATCAAAGAAATGCAATGAATGTGAAATAATTGGTAAGGTGTATCATAAATTAGAAGTCTTGGATTTTATTTTCAAGTAGCTACTCACCCTCACTCCGCTCGGGTTTGTCCCTACTTATGTTTTAACTTTTAGTATAGATTCCCAAAGATGAGATATTTTCCTACAGTATAAAGTATCCTATATGTTGACCCTCATAACCAACATAATATCATCATACCAAATTTCATCAATTTTTTTTTTTCAAAAATTATTTAATAATGTACAGATTCAACTCATTTAGAATTTTTTTACATGTATAGATTAAATTAAAGCAATATTGATAACATTTACACATTAATCTACAACTTTGTGCAGTTCTAATGATGATTGGAAATCAATACACAATTGTTGAGCAAAAGAAACCTTTTAGTTTCTTATTTCATTATGAAGTTAATTATATGAAACCCAACTCCCAAAAGCAGTTATCATAAAGGCTTTGCCATAAAAGTTTTGTTATCTAAAAAAAAATTGTTTTACTTAAGAAAACTGAATTACCTGTAAAAATGGATGTCCAAATGTTCGCACTTGGCCATCTGAGCCCTTTGACTCCATTGTGTCTGCCCATTTGGTACTTAAGCTATTTATTGAACCTGTCACCACCATCATCACTGCCAGAAACTTTTGATATTGTGTCCATGCCATGCTAAATAAAATATTGTAATATGTAAACCAAATTGGGTTAAAGACATGGTTATATAAATGTACTATTGTGTAAATACAGTTTAGAAAGGAATGCACATATGACGTTCATAAGTAATAGATCATATAAAAGAATATAACAATAATGAAAAGAAAACTAAAAATTAACAATTTTTGGATACATTAATCTATTTAATAAATAACTAAACCTCAATTTTAAAATAAGAGAGAAAATATGCAACAATGGTCTTACATATTGAATTTCTACATTGACTGTTGATTAAAGTACCAAGTTAAATCATAACAAGATTGACGTCTTTGTTTATAAAATTTTATGTGTACAAATATTTCTAGTTTATACTTTGTATTCAAACATTGTTGTGTCATTCAAAACGTATTTGCCATTTACACTAAGAAGCTAATTGTTTAGAACAAATCGAACGCATATAAAAATTGTTATTTTAATGGATTAGGCACTACAAGTGCACGTACTTTGTATAAAAATAATAATATTACAAAGGCTTCACTTAATAAAGGTAAATTTTACATTAAAATTACAGGTCTTGATTCTTTTGTTCTAATTTCTAGATAAAACTTTGAAAGAGTTTTTGACAGTGTTCAATGAACTTTGGTAAGTAGGTAGGTATTTGGTTTAATAAAATTTTATAGATCAAGATTTTATCATAATTACAAAATAAATTATAATGGCAACTGTACTTACTTTCTATTGTGAGAATAAATGTTAAATTATAAACAATATAATTTGAGCAACATTTAAAACATAAACCCCGCCGTCCACGACAGTTAGGTACTAGAGAGTTAGAGACTTAGATTAAGATTTAGGCTTGGCTTGGGCAAAAAATATAAATATATTAAAATATCGATATTTTTCCATACAATTATCGATATTTTTAATCGCGATATATAGATATTCGATATTTATTTTAGAATATCGAATTCGTATCAATTTCGATATATTTTTAACACAACTCTGGTTTCGTGTTTGATGTATTCGATTTGATTTACCCGATACTCCTTGCATGCTCGTCGGGCATCGTTAAATTTAAAAAAAACGCCATAATGTTTATGACACGCAATATAACAATAAGACTATTGGCTGCGTGCACGAAAATACTAATAATATTAAAACAATACCATCAATCAATGTGAGACGTATATGACCCTGAAGTTAACAGACAATTAACATTTACAATTAAATTACAACTTTTTAAAATATTTTTTTATAATTTATAGTTATGAAAAAGTTTCAAAGATTATTAAACTTCGGCTATCTTCAGTATCATGAGAAGTATATAGGCCTTTTCTTGACAAATTCACCACAAGGGCATCCATCATGTTTTCAAGGCGGTAATTTAAAAGTTTCAGACAGTAAAAGCCGCTTGACAAGCGAGCACATCAAACAGACGGGGCAAATGTCCATTACTGATGACTACTATTTTCATTAAATTATATATAATTGTTTATAATAATAATAATATCATTTATTTCAACCATCAAGGATTATATTTTGTTAGTAAAGACACACAATAACCTAATATTAGAACACATTTGCCCTACTTAATCCTAAACCTTGCCTAAGACAGACTCGATTTGTCAGCACGTGCACCATTTGGCAATGGTTCAAATACTGACAATCAAACCTGTCAGCAAATGCCTTCAGGATGCTATTGGAATTGGCCCGAACCCTGCGCACCAGGGATGTGCACCGTTTGCGCATGATAGTGTAGAAACAATCTACGTGCACTGCGGCTAACATACCCGACGCGCTGCACTAACGAGGCAGTCCATCAGCATCCTGAATGCATTATTATACTGAACACGCTGGGCATTGTACTGTTTCTGCGGGTAATCAACCCACAGGCTGCTGTGCAAGAAGAAGTACAGTAAGCTTTAAAGAGGGCTTTAGGCTCGAGCATTAATAAAATATACTATTTAGTTCATGTTTATTCTTTTTTACGAATTTTGAATGCTTTGGGAATATGTATGAATAATTATGCGAAAACTGACGATATATCGATATTTTTCACTCGTTAATTATCGATACTGATTAAAAATATCGATACATTATATATCGAAATTTTTTCCCTTGCCCATCCCTACCTTAGATGAATAATTAAAATTTAATAGACAGTTGACAGTTGTAAACTAAAATTTAATTTTATACGTCAGATTAATTCACCACAGACAACAGAGTGTTAAATAGACAAGTACAGATTATTAAAATATCTAAAACAAAGAAATTTGAATCATGACATGACAATATATTAAACCATAGTATAAAATTTAATATTTATATACTTATATTTTGTTCCTTGATAATAAATATAAATATAAGATAACTTCTTAATAATATACATTGTATAAAAGGCTTTAATAGTTAATACTGACCAAACTATTTTATTATCTGTTCCATTTATTACCGCCATCTAGTTTGCAATAAAATTACAAGAACGTAACAGATACTAGTTGGCGCTGGTGGTAAAATAAAAATATTAAAAAATATAGTCATCACAGCTCTAAATAATATTATAAATGCCTTAATATTTTCATATTATTATTATATGTGATTAAATATTATATAATATCTATTCTACGGAACTTTTATTTATATTTAAAAAAAAAAATAATAATAAAAAGGCAACAAAGGAATGTGTTAGTTCTAGCTAGACAAAATCGATAAATGGTAAAAAAGATCTACTTAGCTATGTTCGACGCTCCTAAAGACAAATTTTGGTCTAATCTATCTATGAAGACAAATAAAATTAAATTGATGTTTGTAATATCAAAATAAAAGCTTTTTACTAAATGCATGTTAAATTATAAACGGCACTTAAAAGAAAAACACAATTGTAAAGTCATTTTTGTCAGTCTGTCTGTTTGTTCCAGCTAATCTCCGAAACGGCTGGACTGATTTAGACGGGACTTTCACTCGAAGATAGCTGATGTTATCAGGAGTAATTTAGGCTACTTTTATTTTAGAAAAAGAATTAGGTTTCCACTCAAAAAAATTGAAACGTACCCTAGGGACGCACCTGCGCGAAGCGAGGGTAAGTCGCTAGTCCTACTAATATTGTAAATGCACAAGGTTGTGTATGGATCTCTGAATGTATATTGTATAGACGCTGGATGTATACATGTATGGATGTTTGTTAATCTTTCATGCAAAAAGTACTGAATGGATTTTAATGAAACCTTATAATAATATAGCTGATAATTCAGACTAATACATGCTACTTTTTATCCCGGAAAAATGTATGGTCTCCGTGGGACAGATTTGCTCTTGTGTGTCTAGAACAGAACCCGAGCGAAGCGAAGGTGAGCCGCTACTTTTAAATAAATATAATCATACCAATAGACAATATTGTTTCAAAATGCTTATAAATTACTAGCGACAAAAACACAAAAACAAATATATCAATCGGGAACCGTACATTTTTCTGGGATAAAAAGTAACCTATGAGCTATTCCAGACTATAATCTAAACATATAAAAAAATTGTAATTAAGCCGAATCTGTACATTAGATATTTTTTTAAAAATCTTATTGAAATAGACATTATTATCGATACAGAGGCCGAATCTATAGTTTTTGAATTTTTGTCTATCTGTCTGTCTGTTAGCGCATCACAGAAAACCACTGGAGGAATTTTGATGAAACTTGGTATGGTGATAGCAGGTTATCCGGGTCAACATATAGGATACTTTTTACCGCGGAAAAATATCTCATTTTTGAGAAAAAATACAAAAAGTACACTTACATTGCAGTAAGTGTACTTATACTAATAATGTAAAACCTAAGAATTTGCTTTTTGGTCATCTGAACGCGTGCGGAGCCGCGGGCAATGCTAGTTCATAATAAATTATGATAATATTATAATAGTCGACCCGCGAGACGATGTCTTGTCCAATTTACAATTTTATCTACAGACCTACATGTGAGGTCATTAGAAATTCTACAGAAAAAAGCACTTTCAGTTTGGGAAACTTGTCCAAATTTTATCCCCTAAAAACCTTATTCAAACTATGGCAGACATTTAAAAAAAACTATACCGTCCAGCCGTTTTTAACCATCTCGTGATGCGCTTACCATCGATAGGATTTTTTATTACATAAAGTTAAATATTAAAAAGTTTAATATTCATGTTAATTCATATAATCCAGTCTTTAATTATAATATAGGATGTGGCCTCGATGTAAGCCACAAGGCTTCTTTCCGAGAAAAATCTGACATGTATCTGGCAAATGATAATGAAATCTGATTTTGCACTGTATTCTGCAGGTAATCCGATTCAAGTGTACTCTAAAAATGGGGATTTAAATAAAACGAGCATATGCTAAAAGCATTTATTTTTATTTAAATATATCATGTTAATAAAGTTTTAGGTACAATGTATATTCGCCTATACTACTATAAAGCTAGTTTTACTAATAAATAACGTTTGGAAAACTTAAATAACGATGCACTCATGTGGGAACACCAGGCCATGTACTGCAACTGTAGGACATGCTGAAAAAAAACTTAGATAGTTAAATTATATGTAATATTTTACAGAACTTTTCATATTTTTATCCTACTGAGTGCCTTAAAATATTATTTAATACCATTTTAGTCAAAGGTAATTCATGACAATGAAAGTATATTTGGTATAAAATTAAAAAGAAAATTGAAGAGACTGTAGCCTGTGTCTGTATTGCCTAGAATGTTTTAATTAAAAAATAATACCTTTTTCACATCGCTGTCCATAGAACCCGGTGCCCTCGCATTTGCAGGCAAACCCTGGGTCTTGCGCCGTCTGCGTGCATATTCCTCTCGAACACGGTAGTCGGGAGCATACGTTTGAACTCCGTTCTATAAGAAAGTAAGATTTAATAAGAGTGTAATATTATGAATTGTTTGCAAAATAGAAAAAAAAAACAAAATTATGGGTATAGTTAATATGTAGTACTCGTGTACTTGTGTTGTTGCCCAGTGCAAAATTTGACCATAATAATTGATGTACATTTGATGAAAACATATTATATGAATAAAATTTACATATTATGTATTATATATATAATTAAATTCTTTATTTTTTCATACCTTAGGTTACATTACTGCAACTTTCGTGGGAATTTGTAATTTTTTTTAAAACAAATATGCTCATGTTATTCGCTGATATGTAGCTTTTGATAGATGAAAGTAAACAGCGAAGCGAGTGTGAGTCGCTAATAAAACAATAATTTTAGTCAGTTAATGCAACTATTCAAACGTTATAGACTATGTCTTATATCCGGTTGTATATAACTACGTTGTATTTTAAATAAAACTATATTTTCGGCTTTTTAACAAAGGAACGTTACCTGCAGGTCAATAGTTCAATCAATAGGTATATGTATGTATGTATGTAAGTATGAATGTCTGAAAACTATATACATATGTTCCCTCGTAATTACCAAACGTCTTAACCATCCAGATTCGTCTTGATATATCATATGATCGATGCGAGTGTTTATTTATTTATTTATTTATTTATTTATTTATGTTTAGTGGTCCACAAAACAAATGTCAATCAAATACATATAAAATAAGAATAGTTTGCAAAATTAATGCACAAGATTGCATTTTTCTAGATGCAGACACAGCATGCATATACAACAAAACTTAATATTACAAAAAACAAGATTTAAACTACGGTAACAATGAGGAACGGCTTTTATCTACTAACAATAACGAAAAATCTTAAAAAAATATATGAATTACAGCTATTAAACTAAACAATTTGCTTTAATTTTTTACGTAAATAGGCTATAGAGGTATTATTAAAAATATCTAAGTTAAAACTTGTTAAAGGCTATATGGATATTATTAAAAATCTAAATGGGTGGGTAGAAAAAAAAAATATATATCTTTCCATTGTGAACTGTAACGGTCACCGCAGTCTTGCATTAAAGGCTTAAGCACGTACGTTGTGTTTGCTTCCATATCCTAATAACTACGCTCAGATGTGTGTGTGTGTCAGTGGCGACGAGAATAAGAATTCATATAGATTTTATTGTAAATAGTAGGTATAAGTCAAAGAAAAAAAAACAAGATTTCAATCGGAAAGATATCGGAGTTCGATATTAACAAGGATGATTGGATGTTATACGGACCGTCTGGAACAATATTTCTTAATTAATATTAATAATGTAGCTAATGAACTTCGAGTGTCGACATTAATAACCGTTATGGGTGCAGAAAGCTACGAACTTTTATTTAATTTGTGTACCCCAGAAAAACCTAGCACAAAAAGTTTTCATCAAATTACACTAATTATGGAAAAACACAACCACGGCCCAGTGAACTGGCAGAACGATGTAAATTTAGGCATAGCAAACAAAGTAGTGATGAAAAAATTCTGAATACGTGGCATTTCTAAAAAAATGGCAAAATCCTGCATATTTGGTAGTTGGCTAAAAAGAACTTGCGAGATCAATTCGTATGCGGAATAAAAATGTAGTGAGATAATCCAGCAGCGACTGTTTGCAGAAAAGGGACTTGTCTTCCTAAAAGCATATAATATGGTAGTAAGCATAAGGCGGCCGAGAAAGGTGCAGCGATAGTACAAGGTCACGGCCGGTCACCGGATCCAGTCATATCATATTATAAATAAGTCATAACTTTGGCGACACGGAGGCATTCAACGACGCGGGGCGGGACGGCGAATACGGGCATGTATAGGAAGTATAATGCGCGCGCGCGAGCTGGAAAAGATGGCGGCGGGCGATCAAACGCGCGCGTGGCTGCAGCGTTGGCGGCGGGTGAGCGGGCTCAGCGGCAGCGGGAATGTCGCGCGTGTGGAGGTATACATAGTGAGGTGGCATGTAAATTCACGGGATATGTATCTACATATGCTGCATTTGCAACAGACATAACCCAGTCAATTAAGCAAAAATAAAAAGGGTCAACCTCAGAATGGGAGATAATAATGTGTAAACTTGTATACACCTTTATTTTGGTGTTTTAACAGTTGCCTTAAAAGTCTCATAAAGTCCCGTGTCTGCGCCGTAAGTTATTCAAGGTCAAAGTTTACAAAAATCAGTTTATCGTATTTTTCTTGGTTTCTATAGCTCCAATGGTATTAACGCTTATTATAAAAATTGTAGAACATAAAATTTGCGACAAACTATGTCTAAAAACTTTTTCATATGCCCAACCCTTTTTCAGATAGAGAGAGAGAGAGAGCAGGGAGCCCGCAGCGCTCAGCAATACTTTTCAAGGAAACTGATATTAATAGTTAGTAAAACTGAAGAAAATGAACACTTAATTTGTAGGGATTCTTTGAAAAATCACCCATTGCTCTTAGAAAAGTATTTCAAAGTATTGAAGAACAACTCTCACAAGCGAGGGCGCAAATGCGTTATACAATTTCTTGCGTAGGCTGATAAAAGAAAAACGTTTGGTTTCCCGTTCCTACTTTTTATTGATTTTAGTATAATTTTCTTTCACAAAAATGTCGCTTAAAAATATTATACTAGCAGCTTATCTTTGTCATTCTATCGTCAGGTCAGTGCTAGATTTTGAGGTGTTTTTATGAATTTTACATTTCTTGTCATGTCTTAAACAACATGTCAACACGTCTTAAAAAACTGAACCAGAAAAATATCATTTTTATAATCCTTTTTATCATTCGTTATAATCCTTTACGAGATTAAATTAAAAAAAAACAATCTTAATCGCCCTCCAGATCTATCAGATCAATCCAGAACATGATGAATCAGTTAAGACAAACTTTATGCTTCATATGGAAGACTAATTTGTGTTCGCAAAACCGCTCTTATGGTAAGAGGGGATACGTAAGGTAGCCTATATCCGTCCCCATCACCCATGAATTACTCATTCTATGTTCTTGCTCAATTTTATCGAAATCTGATTAGCAGTTTCAGCGTGAAAACAAACAGGCAGAGTTACTTATTATACCTATCTATTTATTAGGAAGGCAAAGGTATTATTCTATATTTATTTAAAGCTTAAAAAATGGAGGTTTTACTCATTGATAAACGTTATCTACGTACCTAGTATAAGAAAAAAAATAGCGATTTAACTTCCTACAGGAAGGCACAGAGAGAATATTATAGTCTGGCATAATTCAATACGCTGGTTAAGCACTTCACATATATTAGAAAACTATAAATAAAATTTTAAAAATAATTCGCAAATTCAAATATCAGAGCTACAAGAGGCTTGAACCCACTTTACTTGATTTTATAACAACTAGAAATAACTACGCCATTGGGGTACATCCACTGTGTAAAATAAATCTAAAAACAACGATTAGTTAAAGCTGTTGACAATTTATAACAATACTGGCAGAACTCGCGGCTTCGCTCGCGCTATAACTACAAAAAAAACTAAAAGGCAGGATTCATAAAAAAATTATCCCCTATTTTACCCCATGCTAAAACACATATTTATTTAATTGTGTTGAAGAGCATTAATACTAAGTGTTAAGTAATTCTGATCATAAATATTTTTTTGGGTTGTATTAAAACGTGTTTTCCCGTAGGAAAGCGATAATTTTCCTCGGTAAAAAGTAAGCCTATGTCACTCACCAACCATCCAATTATCTCCACACTAAAAATCACGACAATCCGTCACTCTGTTTCGAGGTGTATTCTTAATATTGAACTTGGCTCCCATTTTCACATTTATGTTTTTGATGGGATTTAAGATGGGAATTAACAGTGACAGATGGAGCCAAAGTCTATATGTCATAGATGTAGTGTAAATAGAAAATGTACAAGGTTCATTTACGTAGAAAGTTTCACCATTCGAAGAAAGATAAAATCTGTTGTAACAATTAATGCAAATTCATCGTAGGTAAATCTACGATAAACAAAATTGGTATTTTTGTACGAGCTGATTGATTAAAAAAATCTTTTACATTTTATAACAAATCACGATAAATTTATTCGTATTGCTAAGATTATATACAAATAATTTATATGTAACATTAAATTAACTCAAAACGCATTATTTCGTAATAAGTATAAAGGACGTAAAATTTCTACTATACTTTATGTCTTCTTGTACCCGACTGCGGCGAAGCCCAATAGAGAGAGGGTAAGACTCCACAATACTATATTCCTTCGTCAATTTTCAAAATTCTCATCTTTTTAGTACGCTTTTTACGCAATCGAACTTTATACCCTAGTGACTTATACTAGGGCGCATACTTAACAGTACCCTATTGTACCTCCAGGTTATAGGCTATCCATGTACTACATTTCACACAAATCCGCCCAGCCATTTTAGCATGAAAAACAAACCTACACACACATACAAACTTTTATATTTATAATAGTAGTACAATAGAAGAGCGATAAAATCAATAGTCAAGGACCAGGTCCATGCATATTGTCACCGTGTAAACAAAGCTTAAAAGCGGGAATTGCAAGAATTGTGCTTAGTAAACAATCGCAGTTGCGATAAGTTTCTTGTGTTGATACTTATAGGCGACATTTTAGTTCTGTTTTCCTTATGCAAAATAGAACTTACGAGTATATAAGCGTCAGACATTTTTTTTTATAATGGCTTATAGTTGCGTTAACAGACGCAATCTATTCTGCCAGTGTCATATCACGTTAGAGGTAATTTATTGTCTATCTACCTTGAGCTCGTGCCATAATAATATAAATGACATAAAATCCATATCATTCATATTATACTACGTCACGGTTTGTTATGAGAGTCTTCTAAGTTGCAGGAATTTTAACTTGTAGAATATTTAGGTACTAGTATAGTATTATATGATCTGTGGTGATGGCTACTACTAGACCACAGTGCCACTTATTGAGTCTACTTTGTACAGTTTTTATGCAGTAAATGTATAATTTATTTTAAATACTAGTGATTCTATTTGTTTTCTGCCCTTTTTAATGCCAACAGCTGAGCACAGGCTTCCGATACGAGGGGGATCAAGTCATAGTCCACTACGCTGGCCAAGTGCGAGTTGGCGGACCTCACTGTATGTCGTTTGAAAACTTGCTAGATTGTCTCGGATATGCAGATTTCCTCACGATATTTTCCTTTACCATTAAAGAAGTGGTAATCATGTTGAATCAGTAGTAAAGTATACATTTTTTTAAAGTAAACCTCAGTGGATAAATTAAGTGCCGGCAAAACATAATCATCTAGTCGCTATAAATTACCCAATCATTTACATACTATGTACTAATTGATATATAAAATAAATAATATACACTCTCACAATCCTTTACATTATATATCATATTAGTAATAATAGTAATAAATTCTTTAATGACATAATTGTGTATGTACACACAAGTGATAATGAATGCTCCAGCTCTGCTCGTATAAACTGCATTGCAGGAGCAAGGATCTTTCCTCTCTACTTAATGATAGGGTTATGCCTACAGAATGGTAGCACAGTCAAAATAACATATAAAAAATGATGATGAAAAATTTGTATCATAAAACCATCTGTTTTAAAAGTGCATGGTCAAAGGTGTAAGTAAATCCAGTAGTATAGAGCGCATCTTAAATATTAGTTTTGATTGGCTCAAAGTGGGACCGTTTACTTAGTAACTAGGTCAGACATTTATCCAGCGTCCGGCGATTTGACTGTTTTAGCTATTATATACTTCAGTATTCGTCTTATCGAATCCTCAAATCTTATCTCGTTTTTGTACTATCATTGCAACTAAGGTTCAAAAGGTGGTATCTCCCGCGATAAAAAGTAGCCTATGTCACTCTCCAGCCCTCCAATTATTTCCACACAAAAAATCACGCCAATACGTTACTCCGTTTCGACGTGAAAAAAGGACAAACAAACAAACACACTTTCACATTTATAATAGGTATATTAGTATGGAAGTGTGTTAATTGTCAAACTTGTAGTTATAATTATTTAGTGATAATATATAGCAAGTGATAAGTGATAACTATAATAGATAATATACATATATATGTACTCTGATTCACCTTACGGGTCAACCACTATTGAATAAGTCCCATTTTATTGGCAAATACATACAAGAATATTGTTCTGGACGCACTTGACCGATTTTCTCATACTGTCTGGACAAGTAAATAGCCTTTTTTGTTATAATATTGGGTATTTGTTGTGCCACGTCATATGTAAATGAGGTTCTAAACTATGCCTGCTAAAATATCTTTAGTATTTTTATACCGTCGCTTTAGTGCTTATCATTATTATTAGTGCCTATTATTATATACTAAAACAACGATATGTAATTTTATTTATAGTAATTTATATCCAAGCGTGGATGAATTCATGCGAATTCCTTTGTTAGTTCATGAATAATAAGTAGGTACTATTTAGTTTTATCTTATAAGGGACACTGTAACAACAACTGTAAAAACCGACTTCAAACAAAAACACTAAAAAGTAAAAAATAACTGATTGGTAGTTTTCATTTACTATACATACCTAATCAAATATTTTTGAAGTCGGTGTGTTTTGTATTTTTTTGTTAAAAAGTTGTTATTTTTCCCTTTTTAGTGTAGACAGTAGTAACAAAGTAAGAATTCTAACGTCTTAGGCTTGTGCTCAAACAAAATAAGCCCAAACTCAAAGTATCTACTATTAGCCGTTGAAGAGTTCCACCTATCCACCTTCTGGCCTTACCATCAGATCAGGTCAACAATACCGAAACACTGTACTATCAACGAAAATAGAAACACTTGCAAAGTTTCAAGTCAATATGACAATTAGAAGTAGGTTAAATTCATCATTAGCTATTTTTCCACCCTTAGAGGTGGTATTTTTTTTTTGAAATTAAAATGGGACCAATCTGGAAATATACACTTTCAAACAACACAAAAATTTTCCAAATCGTTTAATAAATGACGGAGTTCTGAGGTAACAAACATAAAAAAATATACAGTTGAATTGAGAACCTCCTCCTTTTTGAAGTCGGTTGAAAAAAGAATGCACAATTTTTTTCAAATCTCTTTTGTTCATTGCATTTCTGACGACAATTGACTAAATTAAAACGCAAGTTGTTTCGCTGAAAAAAGTACTTTATATGGTGTGCCTAAGTTTGAATTTGTGTTTAGATAATTAGAACTTTCAATTTTTTTACTTTGGTTTGACTTAACGTCATCTGTTGACGCTACTTTGACGAAATATTTGTGACATAAATATTTATGTACAAACACACACATATATAAATACGTACTATATATTAGTATTACTATACCTTTACTAATTATACTAGCATTTCCCGCGGCTCCGCCCGCGTTCAGATGACCAAAACCCAAATTCTTAGGTTTTACATATTAGTATACTCTTACATTGCAGTTTTTGTATTATTTCTCAGAAATAAGACTAGTAAAAAGTATCCTATATGTTGACCCGGATAACCAGCTATCACCATACCAAATTTCAAAAAAATCCCTCCAGTGGATATTCTGTGATGCGGTAACAGACAGACAGACAGACAAAAACTATAAAATGTATAGATTTGGCCTCTGTATCCATAATAATGTCTATTTCAATAAGATTTTCCAAAAAATATTTAATGTATAGATTCGGCTTAGTTACAATTTTATTATACGTATAGATAATACTAGCGACTAACTCTCGCTTCGCTCGGGTTCGTCCCTAGATTGCTCCACAATACAAACTTTCGTCCCCATTTTCACCACTTTAAGAAATAATTTCTGGAATAAAAGTATCCTATATGTTTTCCAGAGTCTCAAACTATCTTCTTACCAAATTTTATGTAAAACGGTTCAGTAGATCCAGAAATTACCCCCTACAACGTCACAAAATCACAAACTCACAAACTTTACCTCTTTATAATATTAGTATAGATGTGTTACCCTGATGAATAAGCTACAAGTAACTATATTATTTTAAAGTTTCATTAAAATCCGTTCAGTATTTTTTGCGTTAAAAACTATCTCCACACAAAAAATCACGCCAATCCGTTACTCTATTTGACCCGAAAGAATGACAAATAAACAAACATACACACTTTCACATTTATAATATTATAAACATAGAACACCATCTATTGACATTTATTTCAACTGTTTTGTCTTTTTTCTTAGTGAGACGTAATAGTAGGTAGTAACCTTTTTATTCTGGCATTGTAAATTCTAATAAAATCTATACCTACCCCACAAAGCGTTGAGGCAGGCTCTCCTCGTTCTATATATAAACTCAGTTTTGCACCCGTACCCACACGTGCACGCCGTTCCAAATATTTTGCACCCATTTTGCATTTCACCTGGTTCACATGCCTGAATTGTTACTGTAACAAAAAAAATGCTTATATCTGTATCCGCTTGTTCAATCTTTTATTTAGGATGATTTGGCTAACTTTGTCTGTCTGTAGGTAATAACTTCTAAACCTCTAAAACCTTAGTCTCTCCCGTGTCTATGTTTGCTGTAAATCAATCGAAACGTCGGGAACCAAAAATCAAAATAAATCCGAAAATTGAAAATATTTAATACTAATGACTTTCATGGGTTTTAATATTTTTTTTGAGCGGAACCCTAATTCCTTTTCTAAACAAAAGTAGCCTAAGTTACTTCTTATAGCATAAGCTATCTGCCAATGAAAGTCTCGTTGAAATCGGTCCAGCCGTTTGTGAGATTGGCCGGAACAAACAGACAGACAGACAGACTAAATATTAGGTTTATTATTATTATCATTCAAAATTTCTTCTCATAAAAAATATTTTTTCTTATAATCTGAAAAAGTCAACACAAACAAACACCTACGTATAAAGTATATAATAAATATAGCGGGATAATGAATGGAAATTGATCTCGCTCGTATCATTTATATCGAAAAACATGTTTTATACAAAACGTAATATTATATTAAAATCAAAAATCGCTACAAATTTAAATTTATTTATAAATATATAACCGATTTAGATGAAATTTGGTAAGCAGATAATTTGATAATCATCCCTTAAGGGGGTGAAAATGGGGATGAAAGTTTGTATGGGGAATAAACCTAAGGACGAACCAGAGCGAAGTGAGGGTGAGTCGCTAGTACATATTATAAACGTATAGTTAATATTTATATAGGCATATTATATTATAACAAATGACTTCTATAGAAAACACTTTTTTCTTTGTTTATTAACTATTGACGAGCTTTAATGTTATCAATAAAAAATGATCACGGTCGAATTAGGACTATTGCGCGAACACTATGTTGAGAGTGTGTACTTAGTACATGTGTAGAGCTAGTTAGTTACATATGTACATACTTAATTAAAAGTAAGAGGAACAGAGCCTTAGGCAACAGTTTAACGATATAGCATTATGTGAAGACCTCCTTATCCACTTCTATCATTACGACCTATCTCATTAACGTTAGCTAACTATCTAGGAGATAATTCAATACGTAAGCGTGAGAGAAAATATAAATGCACGAATTTTTTTTCATTCTCAAAATTCAATGGGATGACAATTAGACGGCGCAGAACTGACAGCTTAAAATACTTTTCAAGGGACGTGGGTGGACCACCGCTAATTATCCGACAGGAGGTTTTTATTAATATATAGTTATTAATAAGAAAATTAGATAACTACTCTTCACCCGACTCGAACTCAGGACCTCAATATCAGCCGCCAAAAATGTTAGCTACTAGATTAATAGGACAGTTCATATTATAATAATATAGTATGGAAAATTACTAAAACAACACATTGCGTATGGTGGACTATTGTTTTAGGATGTTTTTATCTACATCGCTTCCGTTAAGACTTAGAATCTGGAATAACAAGTACATTCATAATTATTTTATTACGATTATTATAGTTTGACAGTACCTATACTTTATAAATGATAAAATGAATTGACTTATGGCGTAATTACGCGTAATGATAAAAATAATTCTAGTAAAATAAAATTTTGTTGATAGAGCTCTAAAGCAAGCAAGCTTTAAAGCAATTGAAAAAAGACTAAACAATCAGTTCATATCTCAGTCGTCCATACACTCAACAGTCTCTTTAACTCTTTACTACATTGGATGTCATGGGTTTGATTTCCGCATGGGAAATTTTATCGATTGTATTATTTTCATACATACGACGTTTTTATCTTTCCAGATCTGGTCAATGTTAACGGGACAGTTTAGGTGATCATATTATAAATTGTTAAGCAAAGAGGCCACTAGGTTTGTATATAGAGATAGACGAAATACGAATAAAGATAAATATTATTATAATTATAATACAAAAGATAAAAAACAGGGCAATATTCCACCAAATTGAAAGTAAACAAATATAAAAAGATTCCAAACTTTATTTGTTTAACGACCCTCTACGGAGTTTTCCTTGTTTCTTTCCATATAAACCGTAAGGTCGACCAGAAAGAAAAAGTAGTTCTATTTTTCCAATAAATACAACGTTGAACTTTTAATTATTTTTAACAAGATATTTATACATATTATTGATTTTACTTTGTTATATAAAAATCTGTTGTCGTTAACTAAGTACGAACTGTTCCTAAATTCATTTTGATTTTTGTGAATGCTGAGTTATTAAATCACGCTAGAAAAAAGTATCCGCGAATGCCTACACAGTCTCTAGACCTAATTCGCCATCGACTCTCCTACGAAAGTAACCAATATTATGAACATCTTCGTTTTTTTAGTGCTAATATATTATACCTACACATCACGGAGATGTTTTAGTAATTGGTCTATGAGAAGGTATTCCTTATATGATGAAGGCATCCGATAAAAAAGATTTTTTGAAAATCATCACCTAAGTGGACAAGATAGGGGACTAAAGATTGTATGAAACTCTGTCATTCTTAAGAAGGCACCGAGCTTTTTATTTTAGTAGGATGAAAGCAGGCAGAGGGGAAGGGGATGTCTAGGATGGACGGAACGCGTGCGAATTTAGGTATTTTATCTATCGAGGAAACTACGAGTAATCGTGTGTCTAAAGTTTACGATTTATATTTACGATTTATAGACTTTGTTATAATATATATATATATATATATATATATATAACAAAGTCTAAAAAAGTTGTAAAAAAAACTTTTCCATACTAAGCGTCAAAACGTACCTAAAGACGAACCTGAGCGAACAAAGGGTGAGTCCTAGTATATTAAAATAATCATATATACAAATAAAAACACTATTGTTTTAAATATCATCACTTATTCCTGCTTAAAGTGGATTATGTAGGGAGTGCTACGAATAAAGTTTATATACATAGGTACAAAAGCTCATTTGTATTTTTAATTCATAATAAATATTAGATTCCCTTAAAGCTTTATATTTAAGCTCATAGAGTTCAAGTATCGCCCACTTTACCACATTAAATAAAATAACGCTAGCTTTTCTTTAAGTATCATAAATCGCAGAAGCTCTATTATTAAAGATGACAATTTTGTCAGTTTGTATGTAGAAAATGTTTGATTGATGTTAAAGTGGACCTAAAAAGTCGCTAGCTATTTTAATTTTAGTCCCCTGTTATTAGTTATACAGAATTTGACAAAATGAGTATATAAGTTTATCAAAATATATTTAAATATTCAATAATATGACTTAGATATGTTACAAAATATTATTTGGGCTAAATGTGCACGTCTACACGTACTGTTCTAAGGGCAGATTGCATTTAAATTCATGATTTGATTTTTTCTTAAAAATTTAGCGAGCCTTGTTTAAAATATTGACATCAAAATAGGAATTTAGTGGAAATTAAGTAACATGTTTCGAGATGAATTGATTAAATTTAAATAAAAAGATAATTACAAACCATAATATCGTATTATATAAGCCTATTGATTTAAAAATATTAAAGAAAAGTATAGCATTGCAAGAAAATTCGCTAAGAATACAATGACTGAATCGTTTTTAATACAGTTTTAACTTACAAAAGCAGGCTATAGCGACGAGAAGAGCGACGCGCCAGCGCATATTCGGTCTGGTGTGTGCTACACGACTGATATCGAACATCCTCTCAAGTGAACGCCCTATCATATCTACACAGTCTGATTACGAGTATAACACAGCTATGTTATTTAATTAAAAAATATTATCACGTTTTTAATTTTCAAACTAATTGCTTTCCAACGATACAAGTTGAAGAGAAATTAAACCACTTAAAAGCTTGTCAAGTAAATGCTCATTCCGAAGACTTAAAAAATATTGGAAGAAATTAAATAGTGAGTAGGTATTTTGTACTGGTCGTACACGTCTAAGAATTGTTCTATTCTAGATAAAAGTAGAGATTCCGGATATTCTAAGTTTTTTCGGAGTAGGTTAGATTAATATGTATATATTCATTGCTGAGAAGAATGTGGATCTTTTTTAACACATTTTTATTAAATTCATCACTAATTCATCATCATTTCATGAGCATAGTGTCCAATTATTTTATTTATTGATGATAACACTAACGCTCGTCCATAGCTAATAAACAAAAAACTAAAATCGGTTGCCAAACGGAAGAGAAAGATGTACTGAACTGTTTTGTCTTTGCCTATTTACATAGAGACTCACTCTCACTTCGCTCGGGTTCGTCGCTATGTATTTGTATAATATTGTTCATACATAAATACTGAAATCGCGATTGAAAAATGGAGATTGAGCATAGGAGGGTGAAAAATACTCTACCACTTATTCTTATATCTACCAAATACATAAAAAAATCATTAAAATCGGTCAAGCCGTTTCGGAAATGTGCGACCACAAATACCGTGACACGAGATTTTTATATATTAGATGTGCATTTGATTATAATACTTTTATAGTTTTAAATATAAACATATTAAAGTATCGTAATCCAATATTTGGATGACAATACACTAATTAGATATAATCGAGATTATCTGAAGACGGAAGGACGTAAGAGATGAAATGAGGTAGGTAAGTGGTGTTCTATGGCTGATTAAAAACAAAAAAACTTCGAAAGATTCATTTGACCCCATGCTTAATAAGTGATTGGTGAAGGTCTGTTTTAATAATTAAAGGTTGAGAAAGGCTCTTTCACTAAGCTTTTAGTTATGTCTGTCCGTTTGTGCGCGTCTGTTTTACCAATAGAAGGGTTTGTTTCCTACGTATCCGTTAATACAGATACGTCAGACACATGTGCCCGATTTCACCAACAACCCATAAGCTACCACCTTTTTTTTTTTTTTTTTATAGTTGGGAAATCCTATTACGGATACCACCCGACTCCCCCCGGGGTGGTTATGTGGAGACTCTCCGGCTAATGAGACCGGCATACCCACTAAAACCCAACTTTCCCCCTCTGCCGCCATGTGGGACGCCACGGGATCGCTCTCGCATACAACCGCGACGCCCCAACGGTTGGCCGAAGCCACCAACCATGAGGCCGCCCCAAGCGGGACAACCCCATTATGGGAAGACTTGCAACCCAACAAGTGAGGCCGCTCCTAAGTCCACTCTGCTGATCAGAGAAGTACCCGGAGCAGCCCCACGCCACACAATCACCGCCCACCGAAGTTGGCAACCTGCAAAAATAATGAACCCCACCCAAATTGGGCAAACCCCCCAAAGACGCCCGCGAACGAGCCCAAACACAAACGGCTGCAGGAGAAGAGGATGCGACAACGCCGACACTCCCCTTCCCCTGCAGCCCCACCGCGTCCACCATCAACGGTGGTGGCCCCGCTAGGCCGCGGGAGATAGGGACGAGCGGCGCATCGCCATACCGACACTCCTCTTCCCCCGCGGCCCCCCTACCGTCGGCCCACCTCCGGACCAAAATGGCTGCCGACATCCCTCGTCATACGCAGGACCATCGAAATGGCCCCGCTCCAGCAGCCGCACCGACGGGCTAGCCCCGGCAGTGTGGCCCGCGCAGCACCTCCTACCACAAAACGGCCGGAGACACCGCGCTACCTCCAAGAAGGAGACGGCGCCCTCTAACGCCGCTCCCTCATCCTCCCCTCCTGGCTGTTGGTCCGCGCCGGATTGCTCCGGTACCACAAGCTCCTGTCGGGTCCAAACAGGCGCGAGTGGTGTTCCCCTATCCGCCACCCGGGGACGCGTCCGGTAGCAGTCAGCCTCTGCCCCGGAAAAAAAAAGCTACCACCTGCGTATGGGATACCTAGCTTAAAAGTCCCCTAAACTAGCCCGTAAATTAAATTTCGTTTTACGATCGTCTTTAAGCTCATATTTACAGCACCTAAATTTAGCGGGCCTGTTAATATTTAGGTGACCCCTAACTGTCGGTGAAACAGAAACTGTCCCCTAACAGCCCGCTAACCATGCTTAGGGGATCCCTTAAACTTAGGTGACGTTGGTGAAATCGGGCAATAGTCTTCTATTGGCATTCTGTAATCAGAACATGTAAAATATCATTTTTTAATATTTTAATGACACATAGTAAAAACTTCAGGATGTTTTTGCTCAACAGTAAAAACTAACATTTAAAAGTAATTAGCCACATAAATTGTCCAAATGTGGGTAAAATACAAAGCTCTATCTTACCGGTATACATACTTGTATATAGGTATGAAATTACTGTTTGGTGGCACGAAACTTTTCAAGTATTTCATCGATTTTTATATTCGCGCATTTTTCATTCCAATATGAGATCCCTGCATTATATAAAATAAAAAATACACCAACTAATATTAAATTCAAATAATTATATCTAGCGCAGCACAATTTATTTCGTCAGAATACTGGATTTAGACTTAAATATGAACGGGTACTTTTGTTATGATTCTAACTAAGAATATAGATAGCAGAAAATAATTGAATCAATGAATTACTATTTATTTATTATTTATATATTTGGATATATTTTATATAATATTAATTTATATTAATATTGGAAAACAAGGATTATCGTTTAGATTTCTATATATTTTAGGAGGGGATACCATAGTTTATTGTGCTTACGAAGCGATAGTTTACTTCAACACGTTCCATTCTAGATGCACATTATATTGGGTGACCATGGAATTGTTAACAGTGCCTAAACATGCACTTTGTTTTAGTTAAAGCAAGATAAACTAGCATTTTCCGCGATTCTGCCTGTGTAGTTTTTTTAATGTGTTATTGCTCCGCTTCTAAATAGGACTTATAGTTCCAAGACTTAGCGCATTCAAAGAAACAAAACTTGGCTAAGGCTCTATATAGGTAGAGTATATAATATTATAGAGTATACTAGCAGACCCGCGGCTTCGCCCGCGATCAAACTACGAAACAAAAACTTATTCGCAATAGATACTTTATTATATGTATTAGTATTTATGTATCTGTGTACGTATATATTATGTATGTATATATTTTTGTCTTATGTATGTAATCATGTTTGTAAACGTAGTTCATCATGTCTGTATTTAGTGTTAATTGTACCGTCCCGTCTTCGATTCTTCTAATCCTTTCACCAAAGGTTGTGTGTAAGAGCTTGCTCGTAGTAATAAGACCGCCTTTGCATGCCTCTTTGTTATTTATTTTTTTATTTTTATCTTCTGTACTCTTCTTTTGTGTGAAAATAACTTCGTTTATAATATTATTTCTGAAAGATATATGGAAACAAATTTAATTTTGTATGCAATGCAAGTAAAATTGCACTCTCTATTCTTTTGACTCTCAAACTCCAGACCAGACCAGACCATAGATGCGCAGGACCGACGGCTTTAAGTGACTGAGCCGACTTCTAACTCCGGCTTGTTACGGAGGATTTTGCGACAGAAACCCTCCAGTACCTGTACTTGATTCTATCCGGGACTCGAACCCAGGTCCTGGGTAGCCGTACATTTCCGCCACTAAACCAACAAGGCTATATGTTGAGTTTTTTTTAATTTTCCTATATTTTATTTTGCTTTACAAGATATGGTTTGCCATAGGGTTATAAAATCTGACCCTTTTTGTATGTTTTATGTGTTTTTGATTGTTTCTTGATATTTGATTTTTAGTATCAAATTTACAAGAGCCTTAAATCTAAATTGAAACTCCGATAAAAAACACTGATATTGGGATAAATGTCTGTTTACCGTGGCAGTGAAATTTATCATAATGAATACGTCTAAATCTCAATGTTAATGGGGGAAAAACGAAAAAGGCCTTAATTGATACAACGTAACGAGAAAATAGTATACCTTTCATTTACCTCGTAAATAAATTATGTTGTTATTTTTTACTCGTAGTTTCTCAAGAAAATGTTTTTGTTAAAAAATTTATCTGTACATATAATAAAATTCTGAGTCGTATTTGTATATTAAATATTTTTTGTGAAATCTTATTGAAATAGTAATTATTATCGATACAGACGCCGAATCTATAGTTTTTACAATTTTTGTCTCTCTGTCTGGGAATGTAATACGAGAAAACCACTGTGCAGATCCGAGTCAACATATGGGATACTTTTTATTGCGGGAAAATATCTTAACTCTGAAAAATGTATACCTACTAAACTGAAACTGAAAACGTAACTAGGAACGAACACGAGCGTGTGCGACGCTAGGGTGAGTCGCTAGTTTAAATATAAAATGTAGACTAGTATTTGAGGGTGACAATAAATAGTTTTAATATTTTCTACATTAATTAAAATTTATTATGAATTTTTCCTTTGTGCCTTAAATAGTAAAATGATGTTTTTTATAATTACGTTTAAGCTTTAAAGTTTAAAATCAAAACAATATTTTAAATGTTTTTTTTTTAAGAAGTCTGAACGTTTAAATTTTCATTTATTTCACTATACCTATATCGATGTTTGTTTTTAAAGTCATTTTAATTTTTTTTTTGTATAAAAAGTTATTTATTTGTAAAATGGCAATATTTAAAGAAAAAAGGTCCATAATAAGGTCAACAAAAAACTTCACTTGGGGGCTAAATAAAATTATAAAAAGTTGTTTAAAATCTTAAATACAATTATTATGTACGAGTATGTAATTCTTTAAATACAAATATTATGTACGAGTATGTAATTCTTTAAATACAAATATTATGTACGAGTATGTAATTCTTTAAATATTGTAGAACGAATTCTTGTCCAAGCT